CCCCCCAGCCTCTGGGGGCACACAGCGTTCATGCCCAGACCCAGACCTGGGGTTACATGCCCTGGGAAAGTCTGGATCTGGAGGAGCAATCTGACTGGGGAGCACTGGGCAGTTTCCAGCCCTGGGAGACTCTGAGGCTGCAGGATAGGGGCCAGTCTAGGAGCACCAGGAATTTCTTGTCTTGGGAGGTTCTGGGACTGCAGGATCAGGGCCAGCCTGGAAGCACTCAGCAATTTCTATTCCCAGGGGAGGAGGGCCAGCCCAGTAGCTTCCCAGCAGTTCCAAGCTTTGGGGCTGAGGGAGTGGAGCCAGTCAGTAGTTCCCCACAGCTGCATGCCCCATGGCAGTCCAGGGTTGGGAGTGCCTGGCAATTCCTGGCCCCTGGAGACGGGCACCTGGGAACAATGTGCCTTAGAAATTCCCAAGGGGAGCTGCACTCTGGTCTCTCCCTGGCAGCCTCGGAGCATGGAGGGAAGGAGGGGACTTCTTAAACTGGGACTTCTGTGGCAGTCACGGCCTCCTATGGTAGGCACCCAGTCAGGGTTGCCTGCCTCACTGGGCTGCTTCCAGCAACCTCTGTCAGCCCAGGGAGCCCACAGAGAAGCCTGCAAGGTGTTGATGGGAGCCCCCTGGTCGCAGACCGTCGCCAGCATAGGCAATCTGCGCTGTTCCAGTTGGACATCCTGAACATGTGCACTGTTCATAACTGATTGGGATTCCTACCAGCTTCACTTAATGGCTAGATTTCAACCATTTATAATGAATGCTTGCACGAGTCACAAAAACATAGCTGGCCAGGAACCCAAGACTAATAGGAGTGAGGTGGAAGAGGAACATCCTAGTAGCTGAGTCGTTAGGGCACTCAACCATCAAGTTAAAAAAATACGTCTCTGGCTTCCAGTGCTCCTAACTACTACACTGCAGGTTAGATATTAAGCAGAGCCCTCTCCAGTGCTCATTTTGAAGATGGCCCCCTTATAAAAAGGGAGGGAGATATGTGGGTCCAGGTGGAAGAGCACAAGCTATAGGTTGTGTGATTCAGTGAGATAGCTGCTGTCTTGAAAAGGAGCAGGTCCTAGATCCTAGGTTGGATCAGAGGCAGAAGCTTCCCCATGACTGCTTTCCATCCACTTTATCCGGTGACTGTTAAATGCCAGGAGCAATGGCTCAGCTTCTGAAGGAGTGCTGGAGACACATCTGCATGGTGCCTGAATTGTGGTGTAGTAGTTTGTGCTTGGAATTCAGAGAAATATAGGGTTAAACCTCTTCTGTGTGGGAGAGAGAAGTGGGACTAGAAAATGGGTCTCTACCTTCCCTGGCTAACCGTTCAGCTTTTGAGCTAAATCATGGGAGGGCTACTCTCTTCTTCCTGATTTGGTGCAAGTATGTGCCTGGCTGATGCACAGCCTCCTGAGCATGCTCAGACTATGTACACATGCTTATGCACCCACACCTCAGAGGCAGGAAACTGCCATTTAAGCACACAAGTGGAAACAGAATTCTTCCCTAAACGGCTTTGAATAAACCCATTAAGCTCTCTGCCTCAGTTCCTTACCTGGAATCTGGGAACGGTAACATATTACATATTCCCCAGGGTGGTTCTGAGAATTAGTTTACATGTGAAAAAATACTCTGAAGTTGAAAGCACTAAGCAGCATTAAGTATGGTGAAACATGTCTTGAGTAACCACACAATGGACCGGCAGAAGTGACCAGAGATCACATCCTCATAATGGTTAAGCAGTATTATACTCATTAAGGGTTAAGTTCCACATTACACTTAGAGCATACTAAATCTGTGGAACTTTAAGCAGTGTTAAAGTTAGAACATGCTGTGAGCAGTTGCATGTTAAGGGTTAATACTGTTTCTTGCCTGCACAGCTCTGACTTGCTACTAGAGGGCTGGCAAGCAATGGGTTGTGGCTAGAAGCCAGGACATCTAGGCTCTATTCCTGCTGGGATGCTGGAGGACTTCAGATGGCTTGTTTTATCTTGGTGGAGCAGACTAAAGTTAGCCTAATATGAGCTAGGTAGCACCACCCAGAGTTAACTCTTGTCTGAAATGGCATAACTTTGAGATGCTCAGAGGGCTCCTTGCACAAGTTAAGGAACTTTAACATGTGGACACTCGTGTTTTTAGTTCTCTTAGTACAGTTGGTCTAAGTGTAATGTGTAACTTCACCCTAAGTTTGGGGATGCTTAGAGGTGCTTTCCTAAAGCAGGAAACTGTTCAGTGTGGGAAGATCCCTTGTGCAGGGTTCAGTGTAATAACTCTTGCTTATTGGCATCCATCTTACTGGCATCCATCGTCATCTGGTAGGACCTAAGCACTGGGGACTTACCCTTCTTGTGAGGGGTTTTCCTAAAGTGCTCTGCATCTGCATGTATATGACGCTCCAGTTAATCAGATGGTTTGATGAGTTGTATTTGGTACTTTTTTGATGAAAGAGACTTGATTTGAGTTTCTTTCAGACATGACTTTTTCCAACACTACAGCAGTAAAAGAAGCTACTCAAAAGGACAAGGGTAAAATCTTCACAGTGTAGAAGCCAGTGGGAGTGTTTCCTTTGGTTTCCATGTGGCAAGAATTTTACTTCAAAGCCCCACTGTACTGAACAGCCATTGTTATATACTAAGAGCTTGGTTTCCCATTCTGTTGAAATCCAGTTATGCTCATTTGCTAATATAAACATGATTTGAAGCAGCTGCTTGGTATAAAGGACCCGAGCTTTAATGTAACTGAGAATCCAGCCTTGAAAATGTAATGGTTTTATCTCAAACAAGATAAGGCATCAACAGAATACATAGCCCCATACAGAGAGGAAGAAAGGAAGAGATGCAGGCAGAAGGGGAAGTGGTAACAATATTTCAGTGTGACCTGCTCTGAGTAATCAGGTGATGATGGAAGCATGCCCCAAAGTAGGAAGATTTCCTTATAAAGACATCTTATTTTACTGCTAGACGTGGTTTTGCTGTTCTGTCATTCTAGTCACTTCCTTCCTGATGTATTGACAAGGCGCACTTCAGATCAGAAAGGGAGGCTTTTCTAGGCACACTCCAACCTACTTCTACTTAATTTTTTACAGCTTTCCAACAAGGTAACATTTTTTAATTTATTTTTTTAATTTCTTTTGCTTTAAGTTGGATCTGGCCAGTTGTTCATTCTCTTTGGCAGTTTGGACCTCTGCTTTGAGCTGTGGGGAGGCTTACAGCACCTGTTATGTTTCCAGTGCCTCACGCTCATGTGTGCGCTAGCTGTTTAACTGCACAGGAAATCTGTGGTTGCTTGCAAGAGGCTCAGGAGCCATGATAATTCATCTTTCAGTAGGCTGGTGCATATTATGTCTACAAAACTTTGGAAATGTATTTAGTGCTTTATTCTGGTTTAGCACCATTCCCCTGGTTTTCACTGGTGCTGTTTGCTGTACGTGCTTATTTTGAGAGTCTGAGAATAAGTAATATTAACCGTTTTGATTGCATAATAGATCATTGTGATAACGTAGTTTAGTTCCAATGGTATGAAAGGGCTTGTTCAAGCTAAAGTTTCTTCTATGCCTCAAAATACTCTGAGCTACTTATTAGGATGCCATGCAAGTTAATTTTATCTGTCTAATCTCACTGCGCTACCCCTCCTTAGATTAAAGAAACCATATCAGGCTGGCTGTTTTAAACTAATCACTGATTTCCATGGGGACTTTTATTTAAAAACCCATTACCCCCCATTCTGTAGCCATACATAATTTTTAAAAGGCTGCCACAAATCCCACTGATGTCAGTCAAAATATTTCTGTTTGATTGATTCTGCTCAATATTTCAGGCTTTGGATTAGACTGTAAAACTACTGTGTGTTTGTGACAAATGTTTGAACTCTCCAGGTGCATTTATATCTCACGAAAATTCAGGTGACGTGTGTGCAAACAAGGACTTTTCTGCTTATCTTTCCATTACAGAATTCCCATAGATTTTCCTGCCTTCTTTGGCTGGTGGGTGCAGATTACCATGCAGTTCAGTCAAGTTCAGTTAAATATTGGTTGTAAACATTGCTGGCCCTGAGGTCTCTGGGTGACTTTGGGTTTCTAAACCAGAAATGAAACAAGATATCATGTTCTCAGTAATTTAAGATAAGCTTGCAGGAATTGTGGTCTCCATGTCTGAGAGAATTCTCTTTTTGAGAGAATTATCATAGCACATGTCCATGAGGTGCCAGCAAGAGAGATTATGCTTAGGGGCAACCAACATGGGTTCATTAGAGGCAGGTCCTGTCAGACCAACCTGGTGGCCTTCCATGACCAGGTCACAAAATCCTTAGATGCAGGGGTAGCAGTGGACATAGTCTTTCTGGACTTTAGGAAGGCCTTCGGCACTGTCCCTCACCCCATTCTCATTAAAAAATTAGGAGATTGTGGTGTTGATGCCTACACGGTCAGATGGATCGCCAATTGGCTGGAGGGCTGCACCCAGAGAGTGGTGGTGGACGCGTCATTTTCAACCTGGCTGGATATGGGCAGTGGGGTCCCCCAGGGCTCGGTCCTCGGGCCCTCACTGTTCAACATCTTCATCAGTGACTTGGACGAGGGGGGAAAAAGCACCCTGTTCAAATTTTCTGATGACACTAAGATGTGGGGGGATGTAGGCACGCTAGAAGGGAGGAATAGGCTACAATCGGACCGAGACAGGTTACAGGGGTGGGTGGATGAGAATAGGATGGGATTCAACACTGACAAGTGCAAGGTGATGCACCTGGGGAAGAAGAACCAGCACCATACCTACAGGCTGGGGAACTCCATTCTCATCAGTGCAGAGGCAGAAAAGGATCTTGGAGTCATCATTGATGCCAAGATGAACATGGGCC